TCAAATAATAACAGTGTGCTCATTAAAGGGAAAGGAAAATATTGGAGATGAAAAGCTTAACAAAATAAAAAAAAAGACTTAAAGAGGAAATCCAGGCAAAAGTGTTATTTTCCCATGCAGTGGAGCTGTACCCGCACTGAATGGGTTAAATGCTCCTTTTTTCTAGGGGATCATAAAGCTGAGATATACTTACCTAGTCTGCAGCTTCTCCTAGCGCAAGACTGGTCCCCACAGCTCCCCCCCTCACATTAGTAGTCTTGTGAATGAACTGTTGCTGACGTCATCATGCCCATAGACCGGCTTTGGATGTGAGGAGGCCAGGAACAGTCCACCGTGGACGTAGGGGAGCACAGTTTTCCAGAGGATCGGAGGACAGGGTAAGTATAGCTTTTCCTAGACAGAACGAACAGTTAACCCTTGCAGTGCAGGCACACCCCCACTGCATGGGAAAATAAAAAAATTAACATGAGTTCTGTTTTAAGCCGGGGTTCACACTATACCGCATTTTACATGTGCAAATTACATGCAAATGTCTGTGCGATGCAATTTGAGCCATACATTTTGTATGGCTCAAATCGCAACCGCACCAAAAAGGTTCAGGACACTTTTTTAAATCTGCACCTGAATCGCATCACATGAGTGTTCTCACCCGTGCAATGCGATTTCTGGCAATTGCATCACAATTTGCAAGCTGTTTCAGATCACATGAATGCGATGCCATTGCAATGCGGTGTGGGAAACGCACAGGATTCACAGCGGTTCCTGCTCCACATGGGTGTGAACCCGGGCTATAGGGGGTTGGTTGAAAAAAAAACATCCCACATGTGTTCATAGCACCCACCTATTCTTTGATTAGGATTTGTTCACATCTGTGCGCTTTTGCCATGCTAAAACACACATGAAATTTAAATAAAACATTAATGCTTTGTAATTTGTTCACATCTGTGCGCTGCTTTTTTCTACAGTGTGCTGGTCGTTTTTGAAAAGTCCTGCTTGTTGCATCTTTAGAGTGTTTTATGAAAAACAGACCTTTTATTATAGTCAATGGTAGTGCACCAAAAAATGCAACATACATTTTTATTAGTGCATTTTTTTCTGTCACATGGCCATTTTTTTCCCTGGTGACTGAGGAAGGAAGATGCATGCAAAAATCAAGCAAAACACACAAAAGGCACTATGCACATACTGATTTTTGAATAATAAACATGTCATACCTGCTCTGTGCAGTGTTTTTGCACAAAACAGCCCCAATCCTCCACTTCTCGGGTCCCACGCCGGTGCTCCTGACTCCTCTCTTCTGTCGGGGCACCCAAGCAGGCTCACTCCCAAGCTGCTGCTCTGTGTGTCCATTCACACACAGAGCCATGACTTGGCCCCACCCCCTCTCTCTCCTCATTGGCTCACTGGCTGTGATTGACAGCTGTCTTAGCCAAGAAGGTGTAAGAGTCCCCAGAGAGATAAGGCTCTTGTGCACATTGCTGGATTGTGATGGGAAATTAAAAAACCTGGAGCCTTTACAACCCATTTAAATATGGCTCCCAACTGTCCCTCTTCTGGAACCAAATTCAACTGTCCTCTTCTGGAACCAAATTCCAATGTCCCTCTTCCATCTCCTGATGTGCTTTGTTCTGGTTTGATGTATAGTCACTATAAACATTGCATTTAGGGCCGGTTTGCACCAGAACATGGTTCAAGAAAGGCAAGACATTGCATTCAAACCACAATGCCTTTGTGATCTCTTGTGTGTGCCAATATTTTGTTAGTGCGTTTGCAGACACCAGATCGCATGGTATCGCAGTACCATGCAATTTTGTGCAATGTCTATTATCTTCACTGCAGGGGGCGCTTGTTCAGAGTGGTACTGCAGCTGCATCCAGGTGACCCTAGCGGTCATCTTGGGTCATGTAGAGTATTTTTAAGTTCCTGCCCCCAGGTTGTGGTGTGCTTTGGAGAAGTGGCTAGTGTAGTGAGAGCATTCCCGTCTGTCAGGTAGGGACAGGTTCCAGAGGAGCAGGGATACCTCAGGGTTTACATCTGGACTTCAGAAAGCTCCCTTTTGGGTTGGACCTACAAGGCTGTATTCCACCCCCCTTGGGAAATGCTGTCTTCAGTTTGAGCCTACTGCGCTACTTTTGGCTGCATAGACTGTTAGGCTACGTTCACACTAGCCTTGTGTGCAGGCGGCAGAGAGGCGTTTGAGAAGCGTTTTTACCGCTTCCCAAACGCCTCTGCCAATTCTGCACATTACAGCACATGGTGCTGTTCTAACGGGAGCGTTTGCGTCGCGTCGCGGCAAAACTGACGCCTCTGGTCGAGTCAGGAGGCTTTGAAGCCTCCTATTCTCGTCTATGGTGCCGCTCCGCAAACGCCCGGCCGGCGTTTGCGGTGCGGTTTGCGGCGGTTGCGGTTGCGGGGCGGTTGCGGGGCGTTTGCGGAGCGGTAACACCACTCAAACTGCATTATAGGCGTTTGTGGGGCGTTATTAATGCTCGGCAAACGCCTAGCAACCGCCGCTAAACCACGCATGTGGCGTTTGCGGAGCGTTTGCGGAGCGTTTGCGGAGCGTTAAAAACGCTCCGCAAATGCCGGACCAACGCTTGCCAAACGCTATAGGGGCGTTTGGCAAGCGTTGGCAAAACAGCCAAGTGTGAACGAGCCCTAAGTTTCCAGTCAGGTGAGCTTCCCACCAGGTTGTTGTACTGTTTGCAAGTTTTTCAGTACATCAGTTACAGCACTGCAGGCCTCTGTGTGAAAACTGCCACTGCACCACGCTGAAGCTACCTAATACATTTTTTAAAAGTAGTGCATGCTCTACGTTGTGTGCCGCCTGGTGCAATTTATGATGAAAATCACACTGTAGGGGAACGCACAGGAAATGCACAGGAACGCAGACCATGTTCCTATGTGATGTTGGTGTGAACTGGCCCTTAAAACATATATTTTCCCCTTGTCTCTCATTTTGGTCTGATCTATACAGTTGTATATAAAATGTACTACTTAGCTATCAAAAAGTGTTTCACAGTGCTAAAGCTTTCATCCAGTTTCTAAATTGTTGCATTTGTAAAATTCAAAAGCCAATATAAAAGAATAGTAGTAGTAAAAATGCACTTGTCAGTTTAACCCAGTGCTTCTCAATTATTTTCTGTCATGCCCCCCCTAGGAAGAAGAAAACATTTCGCGCCCCCCCCCCCCCCCCCCCCCCCCCCCCCCGCGCGCGACTGTAAATAGTATCATTTGTCTATAAAATTGTTATAAGTAGGAATAGTGCCCCATCATTGGTGTCAGTGGGAGGAATAGTGCCCCATCATTAGTATCAGTGGGAGGAATAGTGCCCCATCATTGGTGTCAGTGGGAGGAATAGTGCCCCATCATTGGTGTCAGTGGGAGGAATAGTGCCCCATCATTGGTGTCAGTGGGAGGAATAGTGCCCCATCATTGGTGTCAGTGGGAGGAATAGTGCCCCATCATTGGTGTCAGTGGGAGGAATAGTGCCCCATCATTGGTGTCAGTGGGAGGAATAGTGCCCCATCATTGGTGTCAGTGGGAGGAATAGTGCCCCATCATTGGTGTCAGTGGGAGGAATAGTGCCCCATCATTGGTGTAAGTGGGAGGAATAGTGCCCCATCATTGGTATCACTGGGAGGAATAGTGCCCCATCGTTGGTGTCAGTGGGAGGAATAATGCCCCATCATTAGTATCAGTGGGAGGAATAGTGCCCCATCATTGGTGTCAGTGGGAGGAATAGTGCCCCATTGTTGGTGTCAGTGGGAGGAATAATGCCCCATAATTAGTATCAGTGACACCAATGATGCGGCACTATTCCTCCCACTGACACCAATGACACTTGCTGACCCCTGTTGCAGTATGGTGCTGCTGCAGCCAGCATATGTGGTTGCAGCAGCACCTCTGCACTGCACACTTACCGGCTTTTCCCTCACTCGATTTTCGCGGGTCCGCTCGGCTCCACCTCCTCGCCCGTGATTGGCCGTCTGTGTACCTTTCCTGAGCTACAGTTCTGGCGGCCAATCACCGGTGAGGAGGCGGAGCCGAGCGGCAGGAGTGAGGGAGTGGCCGGAGTGACGGAAGGAGCAGTGCTTCCTGGATGGATCATCGTGGGAGCCAGGTAAGAGACAGCAGCCCTCTGCCCACCCCTGTACGCGCCCCCCTTGACGGAGCCTCGCTCCCCCCCTGGGGGGCGCGCCCCACTATTTGAGAAGCACTGGTTTAACCTAACATTTTTTTTTTTTTTCAATTCTCCTTTAAGGGGGCGTGGCAGGGGGTGTCCTATGCCTACATACTTTTGATAGTAGGTGTCCCTCATTCTCATCTCAGAAAGTTGAGAGGTATATATATATATACTGTAAATATACAAATATACCCAGAAGCAGGATATACAGGGTATTTGAACTGGGAGAGTCGATATGAAGCAATATGAAGGGTGAAGGGGAGATATAAATCTATAAAGTAGAACTAAAGGCTGAGATTTTTTTGCATGAATATAAACAATTTTAAATATAATACACAATACTGGTAAACTTTTACTTTAAATGTAATTGTAATGCCTTACATTAACTCCAATCTATCAGTCTCCAGCTTCTTTGGGTTCAGATGCTGATCTTCCTGCACAGAGCCCTTAAAGTGATTGTAAACATTGGAATTTTTTTTAAGCAACCTATTTGTCAATTTGTCATACTTACCTGCTCTGTAATGGTTTTCTCCTTGATTCTTCTCTTCTGGGGTCCCCCACTGGCGCTTTTGGCTTCTCCTGCCTTCAGAGTGCCCCTATAGCAAGCCACAAAGTATCGTATAGAGTGCCCCCATAACAAGGTAAAACAAATTCTGCCTTTAGAATCACTTCATATTACTTCCTTTCCCTGCCCAGGACTACATGTTCCATGATGCATTGCTTCTCACACATTCACAAGTTCTCAGGCACGTGCTGACATGTATGGACAGTGTACTGAGCTGTATGTGTGCTGAACAGGGGCGGACTGACAACTCATGGGGCCCCCCGGGCAATAGGGGATCATGGGGCCCCTGTGTCCTTGCCCAAACTCAAAAAAGCCTATGAAAAAGGTACCAGGGGCATCTCATGGGGCCCCCTACTGACCCTGGGCCCTCGGGCAGTGCCCAAGTTTCCAAATGGTCAGTCCGCCCCTGGTGCTGCACTATGTATACTGACATGTGCAGCACTGTATTTTCTAATATGTAAACAAATAATGCATTCTGTATGCAAGCCAACCAATCTGCTGACCAAGTAATCAATTGTAAAAATAGTTTGACAACCATTTTCATAATCGATTATAATCGATTATGTTGATTAGTTGTTTCAGCCCTAATACTATGTATCCCACACTCATACACATGGGAGGTGGGATCTGGAGGCCCTCTTGTTAAAGGAGGCTTCCAGATTCCGATAAGCCCCTCTCCTGCAGATTCCTCCCAGGGTTGTGGGGAAGAGGCCCTTGACCCCAAAGCACCCCCCTATGTTGATGGCATGTGGCCTGTTATGGTTCAGAAAGGGGGGGTGCTTGCTCATCCCTCCACTTTCTTGACCTGCCGGGCTGCATGCTCCGATAAAGGTCTGGTATAGATTTTGGAGGAGGACCCCACGCCATTTTTTTTTTTCAATTTTGGCATGGGATTCCCCTCAAAATCCATACCAGACTTAAAGGGCCTAGTGTGGATTGGGGGGGACCCCCACGCTGTTTTTTTTTTTTTTTTTTTTTTGTCTGGCACATCTTTTGTTCACATTCTGATGACAGCAGGGATTCCGTTTGACAGCAGATGAGTCATGGTCGTTAAAGACGTGGAGGCCTTCTCAATGATCTGATCGACCCGAACAAATCTGTAAATTTTGTTATAACTTTTTTTGGATTTGTCCAGATTCATTACTATGTCAATTTGGATACACCCAAATGGACATATGGACATAGTAATGAATGGCACATATTTTGTTCAAATTATGCTGACAGCAGGGAATCCATTTGACAGCAGATGAGTCATGGTTGTTAAGCACATGGTGGCCTTCTCAGTGATCTGATTGATCCGAACAAATCTGTAAATTTTGTTATAACTTTTTTTGGATTTGTCCAGATTCATTACTATGTCCATTTGGATACACCCAAATTTTTGAAAATGATATTTGCGGACGAAAAATGAATCTCAATGAACTGAAACCTTCATGTCGTCTTGGGTGGATAGAAAACAATTGATATACTGAAGCGAGGTTGGTGATGTAGCTTGGAACAGAGTAGTAAATGGTTTCGTATGTTGTTGTAAAGCTGGTCATTCACAATTTTTTCATTCAGCCAGTGAGCTAAAAGAAAAAAAAAAAACCCAGATTCCTCCATCCTCACAAAGGGGTGGATTGAGGACTTCCCAAGGGGACATTGTATTCTGACAGCTGATCCTGTCACTGTTAGAGTACACAAATCAGCGGCTGCAGCTGATTAATTTCAGTTGAGCTGGGAGAGCCCACACAACAATAGTAATTCCTCCGGTCACTGCTGGACCAGGCAAATTTCAATAAGTGTATGGCTAGCTTTAATATTTTGGGTTTTATTCATTGGGCAATCAGAAGCCAGTGAAGGGATCGGCAGAGAATTTTCCTCTTTCTTTTATATTTCCTGCAGTCTCCTTCCCCCTGTGAATGGGAAACCCATGCCTCCATTTAAAGAAAAAATAAAAGCATTCTTCCATGACATTCTTGACAGCCTGCCAATGACATCTTGCCTGATGTCACGCATGTGTTGGTTGAAAGCTGGCCTGGTTTAATGGACATACACATATTGGTGTTTATTCATCCCTCCCTTTTTACCATCCAGTTGATATGGGATGCTGATATTATTTGGCTTAACTTTATGTGTTTATTAATAGATACTAGATGGTGCTGGTTGCGGTGCCGAAGGTGCTGACGATATGGTTTATTGATGGATGGTTGTGTAGGTAAAGCAGTGGATGCGAAGGCGCAATTACTCTGTTGGTGATGTTTTGGTTTGAGGAGTTTGGTCGCTGCCAGTGATATCCGTACCCCGCCTGGTTGTTGTTGCCGTGGGCGAGACTTAGTGGTGCACTGAGCATGTATGCCGGCACATTGCATCATGACACGGTTTGAATCATGATGTCACTGACGCTCAACGCTCCAATAGGGTGGATCGGCGCCCACAGAGTGGGAGGAGGGAGATGGGCGTAATGGCACCAATTTTTGAGTCCGCATCCCGCCATGACATTGCTGTGTTTGGTGGGGTGGGAGGAGCGCACACACACACATATATATATATATATATATAAAAGGCAGAACCTAGTGGAATACTCAGTGTTGGTAGAATGCGATATTGCCAATCTATTGCTAGGTCTCTTAAGAAAAGTCTATATTGGTGAGTTTTATGAAGACCATGCATTTGTAAAAATTATTGCTAAATATACATCTGGGATATCTACGAATTTATATATTCAAGTAGAGTTGCTTCTTTGTGATTTTTATTCTCAGATGGATGGTTTTTCAGCCCCTTCTTTGCTGATTCCTATCTGTATAATCTACAGACTGTTTTCTTTTGGAAACTAGTAATCCAATATAGGATAATAACCAGGTATTTACTCCTTAACTACTCCGGTGGCTGTGTGGCTTTTTTCTTTGGGATGTGAAGCTCATTGAGACCCTTCCCAGAAAATTATGGTCTATTTATTTGTTTATATACATCAGATGTTTTCTTGATCATAGATTTTTGGCCTTGTATTCCTCTCCTGCAGCACACTGAATACTGCTCTCTGCCTTTCCCTGTTGGTGGACCTGTTGAATTATCTTGCAATATTTTTGTACAACATCTGATTTTAATACGTTTTCTCATGACCTGAGTGAAATCCATACGATGCTTAATGACCTCCCACTGATATAGATGTTATGAGTGATTTGACAATGTTACAGCAAAATGTGGATCTAGATTCACTTATCCTATACAATGGTCTGTACAATACTGTATATGTTGTATTCTTTGTTGTTTCTAAGGTATTGATTATCTCTTTTTAGTTCCTTTACAGTGTGATAAAATTATATCCCCTGAGGAAGCCCGATGAGTGAAACATGCCAGTTTTCATATATTTATGTTTGGAACTATCATCTGTGAGATCTACTGAAACCATCTCTCATATTGTATTTAAGCAATTTCATATTGAATTTTAATTTTATGTAATTTAATTAAATAAAATATTTAGTGGTATTGCATCTATAAAGACCTCAACTTGAAGGAGTGATGTTCTCTCCTTTCTCTTTGTATATTTATGAATGTGGTGCTGTGGTTCCACCTTTGACTTTAATATTTTTGGAATTGAGAGCTGACCCAGTTTGTTATTGAACAATAATAAACCCTGCCAGATCTTCGCAGCACACACACACAAAGTCAGGTGAGATTTCCCTGGAAGGCACGGGTGATGTAGACTTCCCCAGGGGGAGGGGGGCAGAGAGGTTACGTCACCAATGTCTACTGAAGACCAGGAAGCATCCAATAAAAAAATTTAAGTTTAAAAAAAAATCTTTGATTGTATAAATGCTGTATGCACCATGGAATTTTGTGTTGTTTGGGGGTAAAGATTCACTTTAAAGTTATCGTATGTACTCTCCAGCGCCTCAGGATATTCACAGCCAAAAGGGAAGCCAAGGGTACCAGGACAGCGACAACCAAAGGAAATGCTTCAGGGGTGCAGCCCTCCTCTGACGGGGAAATCAGCCACTGGATAAAGAGAAAACAGGTGGCGCACACACCTAGTGCATTATCCAAGGTTTATTGTAAGTGAGTGAAAAAATAAAAACATACTCACAGACGAAGCATGTATCTAAAAAGCATACAAAATGACGATGGCCACAACGGCAAACAAGGTGTTCTCACTGTCAGTGCGGTCAAATGCTGACGCGTTTCAGGGACGAATCCCTTTCCTCAGAGCTAATGAACAGCCTCTGATGCAGATGTGTAATGAATGGAAAGTGGGAGCCTTGCTGGTGATGCCTGGCAAAAAAACCCAAAAATGTTATACTTATCTGATCTCTGATGTGGTTTTGCACAGAGCAGCCCCAATCCTCCTCTTTTTGGGTTCTTCACTTGCGCTTCTGGTCCCTCCCTCCAGACAAGTGCCTCCAAAGCAAGCAGTTTGCTATGGGGGCAGCCAAGCAGGCTCACTCTCGAGCTGCTGCTTTGTGTGTCCATTCACACACAGAGCTGTGGCTCAGCCTCGCCTCCTCATTGGCTTACTGGCTGTGATTGACAGCAGCAGGAACCAATGGCTCTTGCTGCTGTGTCAGCCAATGAGGAGGGAGAGTCCAGAGAGAGCCGAGGCTCTCATAAACATCACTGGATCCCAATGTTTGTCAGGTAATTATTAGGGGGGCTGGCATAGAATGCATGAAGGTAAAACACCTGGAGCCCTTACAGACACTTTTAACTACTGAAAATATTAAACTGCACTAAAACTTTTATCCAATCTCTAAATGACTACATTTGCTATTTTGAAATACTAGTATAAAGGAATTGTAGCAGTGAAATAAAGCACTTGTGGATTTAAAGTGACACTAAACTCCAGTTTAAAAAAATTATTTTCAAGTATATATTCTTAATTCAAAAAAGTACCTTCTATTGCTATCAATCTCCTCCAAATTTCTTTTTTTTTTTTTTTATGCTGCTGTGATCTGATTTCTTGATGCAGGGTGACTACCTTCGTTCCCCATGGTCCCACAGTATGTAGGAACGTAGCCACCCTTTTTTGCTTGCTCCCAAGATGGACCTCTGGCTATGAACTATGGGATATGTAGTGTACATAGAGTAGTGCGCATGACCACAACTAATGTGCACAGCCTGCCCCAAACAAAGGTAAGTGAGAGGGAAATGAAGAGCTTTGGGTAGACATTTAAGATGTTAAAAGGAAGCAATATAACACACTATGAAACAATTTCATGAAAAAAAGATTATTTGATCAAAAGAGAACTTCGGATTGCTAAAAAACAGTTAAAAAAAAATCATCTAGGTAGATGTAGCATCAGTCCCATATTGTATCTGTCTCCTGTCACAGACTGAGAACTGAGCGATCAAAGACAGCTCTAAGTCTGCAGAGAGCCAGTGACTGTCAATCACCAGCTCTCTGCTCTACCCTTCCAGTGCTCACTGGAGCATCAGCTGTACAGA